AGCTGTAGCAATTTAGGGAATCTCATCGATTCATCAAGATCCTGTTTCAAAATAAAAAATAAAAAAAGTTGGGGATGTAGCTCAGTGGTAAAGTGCCTCTGGGTTTAATCCCCAGTACCAAAAAAAGGATGAAGAAGAGACACCTGGGCTGACACATGCTTGTTCTGTCTCGCCAGGTGATGCCCTCTGTCATGTTTGGAAGCAACTGGAAAATCCACACTAGACACAGCACAGATGCCGGCATGACACCATGCTCCTAGAATCCCCAGGTTCCGGGACCATGAGCCAAATAAACTGACATTCTTTATGAGTTGCCCAGTCTGTGGTATTCAGTTATAGCAACAAAAGCCAAACAAGATGATGGCTAACTAGACTTTGCATTTAACCTTCAAGAAAAGGAAGAAAAAAATGATTGGGAACAATAAAATGTGCTCCAAGGGAATCAGAGTCTCAACCCAGCTTGGCCTGCTGAGGGTCCAACCTCATCCAACAGGATGGAGACACAGTAAGGGGAAGTGTCCCCTTGGAAAGTGTCATCTTCCCTTTCCCCTACCAGCCTTTCTCTTGAGCCCTCTGCCCTTTTAACCTCCCCACAGCTCTTACTTTCTAATTTTTTTTTTAAAGAGAGAGAGAATTTTTTTACTATTTATTTTTTATTATTTTAGGTTATGGTGGACACAACATCTTTATTTTACTTATATGTGGTGCTGAGGATTGAACCCAGCGCCCCGCGCATGCCAGGCGATCACGCTACCACTTGAGCCACATCCCCAGCCCCTACTTTCTAATTCTTTAATCACTTTCAAGAAGCAGGAAGCAGCAAGATTGGTACTTGGTTGGAGAGAGGCAGCAAGAGACCACAATAAGCATAGCATGGCTGATCTTCTTTTGGATTTCTTGTTTTTGTTTTCAATTTGCTAAGTACACTGGTTCATCTCATTTCTGTTCAGCTTTCATTTACCGAGGACTTGCTATGGACAAAGTTTTGTGTAGCCATAGGGGATTATTTAATCAGCACTAGAAACTCAGTGAAATCTGATCCTGTTTTCTAGATGACTCAACAATAGAGCAGTTATGCATCTTTTCGCTTAACAAATATAACATTCCGTGAGTCTATCACTCCAATTGGGACTACCAGGATCCATCAAATCAACATGTCTATATGTATGTATCTACATATCTATTAATAAAAAATACCCCAAATATGGTTGGCTCCCAAAGAGAAAGAAATGAATCATATTCTTTTCTGCAGTATCTGACTCTTCTTGTCTTTGGATATGTGAACACATATAGATACAAAGGGCTTAATAAATACTTCTTCTATGGAGACACATTTAGGTAGCTCTCATCTCACCTACAGTTACTAAAATATTCTGTTTTATGGAAATAGTGAGCAATTGGAATGAGTTGCTGGCAAGTCACTTTGTGTCTGCTACTATTGTTTATAGCACTTTCATGTCTATGGATATGTAACTGCATGATTGGTTTCCACATGCAGAATTATCTGTTCATATATTTTCATATATTTTAGTCTGCAAATACCTAACTGATGAGCACCTGCACCTGAACCCATTACAAAAATCATGCCTCTGAATGGCTTAAATAATAGCATCAATTCAGAGGCATTGCCAGCCAAGCATGGAATTTTCAAATGCAGCCAAATGAACCAATGTTGCTTCTCTAGTGCTGCCATACAATCTCCTTCACTTTCAAGTCTAAACCTTTCATGCTGTACATATCACCTGCCTTTTAGCTGAAAAATCAAGACAGGAAAGTCTTCCTAGAAAATAAATTAAGTCATGATATAGGTGGTATCTTCATAAATGAACACCTTGGAAGAAAGAGAGTCCATCTGTGGCTCCGAGTGTTTAAATCAACTTCCAATTCCATGGCTTTGGTCAAGAGCTCTTCCCTTCAATTCCTTATTTCCTTTCTTCCTCTCATTCTCCCTCCCACATTCCTTTTTTTCTTTTGTAAACTGTCCATCTATATATGGAGACAATAAAAAAAATGCCCAAATTTTGGTTGGCACTCAAGCAGAAGGAAATGAATCATGTTCTTTCCTCATTGGTTGCTTGCAACACCTAACTATTCTTTTCTTTGGAACTGTGGACAAATACAGATACAAGGGGCTTAATAAATACTTCTTTCATGGAGCCACATGACCACTAACTCACATATGCATACACAATGCAAACCATTCTCCCTGACTCTACCTTTCACCTCTACAACGTTTATGCAATAGTCACATTCTTCTAAAAAAGAGAAATTATTGCTGCTTGTCTACTACCATCTAATTAGGATATATATGTATATGTATGTGTATACATATATACATATATATACACACATTATATATGTATGCATACAGGTACTTGTCTGTACATGTACACACACACACACACACACACACACACACACATATATATATATATATATATAATTATACATATAATTATACACACACACACACACACTACACACACACACACACACACACACACACACAAATATCTATCTCCATTCAAGAAATACTCTAGTCAAGAAAAATAGTGACCTGTAATCCCAGCAAATTGAGAGCCTGAGGCAGGAGGATTGTGAGTTCAAAGCCAGCCTCAGCAAATTAGCAAGGCACTTAGCAACTCAGCAAGAAACTGTCTCTAAGTTAAATATAAAAAAGGGCTGAAGATGTGGCTCAGTGGTTAAACACCCCTGAGTTCAATCCCTGGTACCCCCTCAAAAAGAAGGAAAAATAGTGCATTTTGACAACTGATATACCATATAATAGAGGCAATGTGAAAATAAATTTCAGAAACGCTTTGCATTAAGTGTTCATAATGAAAATATTTTAGTTTACTATAGACCAACAGGATTTTTGGGTCCCCAAGTGCCAACATAGGGGTGCTGAAATCCCTGATGATTTGCAAGCCCTCTAGGAGAAAGACCATGATTTTCTACAGGCGAGACTTCCCTGGTATACCTATATAAAAAGTGATGTGATTGACACCACCCATCTTAAAAAGGTGTGGGGAAATGCTGAAAATTCCATTTTCCTCATTCTACAGTTATTTCTTACAGTGGGCAACTCTTTCCCATGGAGTGAGAGAGAACTTGCCACACAGAAAAGTCCCACTGTGAGATCTCATTAGAGACCTTCTTTCCCTCTGAGCTTGGGCAAACATTACACCACCAGAAATTGTTTGCTGATTTTCCTGAAGTCTTTCTCAGACCTGCTTCTGGAGGTAAGACTTCTTTAAGAGCCCATCAGTACAGATGTTTCACTTAATTGCTGGGAAGTGTCCAAATCCAAATTATAATCATTCCACTAGGATAGAGATGCCCCCTGAGGCTGCACAGTATCTAATGCTATAACTGTTTTAGCCAAGTGCCAAGAGCCTGATGCCTCATTTACATCATGGCTTCGGAATCTCTGCTGATAACACTGAAAACAAAGATGACCACCATTCAAACAGCCTTGTTACTGGAGCACACAGAAGCCCCCATGACCTAGAACCTTTAAAGTGTTGATAGCTTTAGAAAAGCTATTAAATTCCACACACGATATGATGGTAATCCTTAAAAACAACAACAACAACAAAAACAAACGAAGGCATTTTATAGCTAAACAATTTTATTGGCTTTTTTTTTTTTTTTTGTGAAATAAAAAACATGAAACAAACCACCGTGGTTAAAGGCCATAATCAGCATCAACCAAATGAACCAGCCACTTGGTTACAGCAGCTGATAACAACACTAGTGGATATTATTGCTTATACCCCATGTTCATTTATATGTCCATTACATTTTGGCAAGATTACAATCAAATGGGAGCTTTGGTTGTACAAATTTAACTATGACTACTCACTGAAAACGCAATCTCTATCATTTTATAATGGGATACATGCCAATTCTCCCTGAGTCTTGACATTTATCCTCTCATTCCATCTTCCTTCTGCTTCCATTAATGATTTATAACCCCATTTAAAAAAAAAATCAAGGGGGATGCATTTATCACCATCCCTACTCCACTGCCCCCTGTTGTCAGCGAGGGTGTTGCACTTTTGGGCAAGCTCTAGCATCTAATGTGTTTCCACTGTCAAGAATAAACACCCACCTGTAATACAGACAGGTTCCCAAATGCATACTTGTCCACATTGGGGTTTGGACTCAGCTGTCTATTTCATTTTATGAAAAGCTAGAAAAAAATAAAATCAACAGCCCTTAACATCAATAAGTTGACCTCCTAACAGGATGAGCCCCAGGTCCTGCCCACACAATTTTATAATGTCTCGCCCAGCAGGCACGGAGATGTGGTTTTACAGTGCTGTGTGTGTGTGTGTGTGTGTGTGTGTGTGTGTGTAACATTTTAATTCACAGAGAAGCAATGACTAGATGCCTCTTGAAAGCTCCCCCCTGCTCTACCACTTTCTATTTTAACACTGAAAACTCAGAAGGACCAAGGGTCAGAACTAACTCACAATAGCACCATTTCCTAGACTCTTGGGATTAGATTCCTTTCTGGTTGGAGAAGGCAGGGACCTAGCCTCCAGCTCCATGCTTTCACAGGCCCTGCTGAATTTCAGCAGGAGTGGGTGGTTTGCCTTAGCCTACTTCTGCAGCAACATGAATTTTTCCCTGGGAAGAGTTAAAAATATATGCCTTACAAAATGAAGTTGGTTGGCCACAGGTGAGAGACCTGAGGAAGACGGTTTTCCGGTGGTGAGATGTGACAAACCTGTAGATGGTGGGACGAGTCTGGGGAAATTTTCCCCTACCCATCTCAATTCAAGTCAGAGGAGAGTCTGATGCAGAAGCACGGCAAGATCAAGGAATACTGGGAGACATAACCTAATATAGTAATCCAAACACCAATGCTCTAATGGTAGCTTATGTGTTTAGGTCCACCAGTGAGTCTGCCCTGGATAATGCTGGGATTTAATGAGCCCTTCTAATGATTATAAAGATTATCCTCTTGAATCTAGACATTTTAAACAACAGAATATTTGCTATCACTATATTTTACATGGCACATATAACCATATAATTACTAGCACTTACACAGCAAATATTGTAAATACACATTCTTGGAGTCGAGTTGGTAATTATACCGATGTTATTCAGAAGAACAAAAATTAAGCACTTTCAACTTGCACTTTGGGGGACTTCAGTCCAACCCTTTACTTCACAGCAAAAGGATAACCCTTTAATTATGTAATAATGCTTGGCAGTCATATGGGCCAAGAGACTCACAGGGCGACATCATGGTCAAATTTGTGGCCTGTAAAATAAAGTAATACATAGTATTCTCGTTTCAACAAAATACAAGAGACCATATAAAAATATTTTCCAATTTGGAATCTGAAACATGAAAGCTGGATTTTTTTTCTTTGTATAAAAAAGAAACAAAGTAACGGACTAAAGTTTATTAAGCCTCCAAAAAAAAAAAAAAATAGATATATACGTATCAGTTTAAGGAATGCAGTGAGAGAGTCAGCTTCCCTTTTTGTCCAGGCTCATTGATGGTGAGCTTGTGCTTTGATCCTAACAAAGATAAATGCACAAAAGTGGAGGAAGGTCAGTGCCTGAAACCTGAACTACATCGCATCTCTAATAAGACAACTAACTTTACAGTAGTGCTTTTAAAAGTGGTGTATCAGATTACTGATTGTTTTTTTCTGTTCCTCTTCAGGCAACTGCCGGAGATGAATTCCAGAAGCACCACTTTCGTCTTGAGTGATGTTTATTTAGTGCAATGTCTTCCTTCTCTCGTTCCCTTTTCACACGCTGGTAGTGGTCTTCCTCCTTCAGGTACCACACAGGGGGCCAGCGGTGCCGCTCAAAGTACTCCTGATTGTCTGGTGAAGGAAAGACGCTGATGGTTACTCCTGCTGTCCACTAATTGTGCCTGGTGCTTCAGATATCCTCTCCATAGCCTGATGTGGCAGAGACTATGAGTAGCACCATCTGCAGATGGTGACACTAGAGTTTAGAGAGGTAGACTCTCTTGCTGACAAGTCCTGCAGCTGAGCACAGAGAACCTGAACCATTTGATTTTAGAGTCTAAGCTAGCTCCCAGGACCAGCCTCCCTAGACAAGGGGGAACCAACAACCTCGGTGCAGCATGGGACCCTGAACTCCAGTCCACCTGAGTCCCCCATACAAGTCATTCTCCAAAGAGAATCCCCAGACTACCGTTCCTGTGACTGCCAGGCAAGGACTTCTCCATGAGATGAGTGAGCTCCCTCCCACTGCATGGAAGGTGCTAGCTACTTCAGTCAGGTGGGGAGAACTGGATGAAGGGGGGACCTCTCATGGTCTTACCTGCAGATTTTGATTTGATTTCTTTGCGGAACTTGGAACAAACACTGTTGTAGTTGGTGCAGATGTGGTGCAAACACCAGGCGGCCAACTGGTTGGCATTGTGAAACTGCAGAAAAGTGACCAAAATGGGGATCAGATTCTTATTTTCTAAAGTGAGGCTACAGAGAAATTGGAAGCCATCATAAGAAATGCAGGGCCCACAGAACTGATTCAGGAAAGCTCCTGTTTTGACCTCCGTGTTTTGACTTTGGCCATGGCTCTGATGCCCGCCAAGGGTAGTGTTTGGCACACCCTCCCTCACCCCCACCGTGACAGAGACGCCCAAAATAATCACTGTATCACATCGTTTTAAAAACAGGCCTCGCCCTTTTGCTCTCCTCCCGCCACCTGGCCTCTAATGATGAATGGCCCTGCCCTCTGGAAGGCACCAGCCAGCAGCAGAGAGCAGCGATGTCACCTCTGTTTAAGGAAGTCTCCGCAACGGAATACTCCGTGTCACATGTCAGAGCTCAGCTTGCTGGGGCCAAAGATCAGAAAGATGAGACTGTGGAATGCGTGACTGTCCTATACCTGTCCTCTGGTTACATAAGAGGAGCAAGCAGTCTGGGCAGGGTGGGAGGGGGACAACCACTCCATCTTTTTATTCTGAGCAGATGCTTAGGGAGGTAGCAGCTGAGTTAGGAATGACTGCAAAAGATCTGATGCTCAAAAAACTAACAGCCATGGGGCTGGGGATGTAGCTCAGTGGTAGAGCACTTGCCTCACACCTGTAAAGCACTGGGTTCGATCCTCAGCACCACATAAACATAAATAAATAAAGGTACTGTGTCCATCTACAACTAAAAAAAATTAAAAAAAAAAAAAAAAAACAGCAGCCAACTCTCCCTCTTATCCTATTACATGCAGCATGGCACCCCTTGCCCTGCCCCTCATGCAGATGTTTTATTGGCCATAGAGACCTGAACCCCTGTGGCTTCTATCTCCACTGAGAAGGTCAATTGAAAAGCCCAAGTTCTCAGAAACCCTCTCAAGAAACTGAAAATCACAACTCCAAACATTGGAGAGAGTATGACGTTGGTACCTCCAGCTTCTCTTCGATGTTCAATTTCTCTCTGAAAATGATTGGTAGTGGTGAGCCAGGTTGGCAAGTGCCAGCTCCAGAGAGCCAGCTGATGGTCTAAATTTCTTCCCTGCTCTGAGTCCAGTGACTTCATATTACTACATCCAGTTGCACCACAGAAGTTGGAAAAGGCAACAGATCAGGGACTCACTTGCCCCCAAGGGTAAATGTTAAGCTCTTTCCAGCTCTTTACTAGGTTAAGATTGAACAAACCAGCTAAGGAGACACCATCCTAAACTCTTTCTGCCAAGGGCTTAGCATAAGCAGATTTCCTTGCAGGATGTGTGTATGTGTGTGTGGGAAGGGTGGTAGGGGGAGGGGACGGGCTGGGGACACTGAGCAAACAGACATAAGTGCAAATTATGACCTCAAGTGAACTGGTCCTATATGAAATTCTGAGTCATTTCATTTTTCCCTAGGAGGGACACTTACTGAATAGAGCACAAGTCTTAAACTGTCACCCAAATGGGGAATGTTTCAAAAGACCCCAAATTTCAAACCATGGTAGGGGGCTTACTGTTTCTACCACAACAGATGTCTATCTTCAGTTTGGATTGTTGTTTATGTTGGATTTAATAATCTGGATTCATGGCTGTTTCTCTCACTTGCCTATGATTGCTCCAAAGGCAGGGAACCTACTGTTTGTAATGTATACACCCTCAGCCCAGGGTGGTGCCTGGTACTTGGAGAGAAAATCACAAATATTTGTTGAATGCTAAGTCACAGTGAGTAGGCTGTCCTAAGTCCTGTTCCACCTTCTAACATTTTGAACCTGAGCGATCTCCTGTGGCCACAGCTGAATGGCCTGAGCAACACCTGCCACATTGCACCTTCCTCTCCTTGAAACCACCTCCTCTCCCTCAATCAATTAAATTACTCAATTTAAATACTGTTTTAAATTGCCTGACTTCAGACTTATTAAGCCACTGCCCGAAGACAGAGAGTAAGAGAGTGAGAATGAGCACACAGAAAGCCAAACTCAAGCAGAAAGATGGTAGAACTTATTCATTCCTTCAGTGGAAAATTCATTGTCAATCAGTCCAAGCCAGGGACTAGCATTCTGCCCATGTGCCTTTCCTCATGAGAGAGCTCCCATTCTCCAGGGCTCTTTCCACATTCTCTTCCACTTAATTCTCAAAATGATCTGTAAGGGGGTGAGGTTGTGAATTACCATCCACATTTCGTAGAGTAGAGGATACTGAGGCAGATTAGCTTCGTGCCTTAGAGAAGTTTTTGTTGATAAAGCTGAAGCTGGCTCTTGGTCTTCTCTGGAGGAAGAATGCAAGTATGTATTGGGATTATGGATATTGATGTTAATAAGTACTGATTTTAGAAAACCCCAGGAGAGCTTCAGGGAGCTGTTCATTAATGTGTGTGTGTGTGGGGCATTATAGGGCTTCATGGGATTTTAGAAACTGTTCAAGAATTCAAAGAAGGGAGACCAAACCTCCCCCAATCTTGCTCCAGAGGTTCTCCCACATGTGAAGACAGTGCCTTAGGGGACAATGGGACTAGTGTGGGGGTGGGGTCCTTGTTGTTTTATCAAAGGAAGCCCAGCAGGCTGAATGGTGCCTTGAAATGTAAAACTCTCAGATCTTCTCCTTGTACACAGGGGGCCTCTGTGACTCAGTGGTGACATCTTTATTTAGACAGATGCAAGAGTGGAATGTTTTATCAGCATTAAATGAACGGATTGAACATATTTAAGAGGTGAAAAGCAAACTGTAACAAACCTGGGCCAATTCCAAATAGGAGAGCACTTCCCCATCAATGCCCACGCCACTCATGGCGGCCTTGGTCAGCTCCTGAACAGCATGCTGCTCTGGGGAAGAGAGAGAGGGCCAAAGAACGTTAAAACTGTTTTCTGCAAGCCAGACACCTTGACTGAAGGGGCTGGGCTGGGACCAGTTAAGAAGAGAGGAAATATGGGACACGGCTCTGGGCAGCCATCCAAACTGACCAGGATTCTTTTAATATGCAGCACTCTGGCATCCAACCATTGCGCCAACATCCCTGTCGTGTTTGTGCTTCTGAATTAGCCAGAATCCTCTAGACCTGCTCTGTCTTATCCAGGATGGTAACCACTGGCCATATCAGACTATTTAAACTTAAATTAATTACAATTAAATAAAATGAAAAGTTCAGTTCCTCACTCACACTGGGCACATTAAACACTCAATGGCTACACATGCCCTCAGCATTGGACAGTGTAGGGTTAGAACATTTCCATCACTGTGAGATAGTTCTCCTGGACAGAATGGTTCTAAAATCTTTCTAGAATCCTCTAGGCCCATTCCTAGCATCAACGTTCCTGTTTGACAGTTTCTGCGCTGACACGGCTCTCATTCTCAATAAGCTCTGACAGTGAAGAAACTGAAGGACAGGAAAAATAAGTCTATGTGGGGAATTAAAAATGTGGATGTATGTGTCTCTATCAATAGCTGTAGATGGATAATGTATTGTTCAGCCTCTTGGATTATAAAGATGAGAGAAGAAACAAAAAACCCAAGTTGGGAGGGTCATTTCTGCTTGGGAGCTTAAGTCCAAATCTTGTAAGCCGAATTTAAATTGGTGTCTGGGTTCGGCTGTTTCTTGCCTCTGTTTGGGCTGTCTGTGGCCTCTGGGGTTGATGTGTGTGACCAGGCTTGGCCCAGTATTTCTAGCTCTTTGATGTTGATGTCTTCTCAGGCATTGTACTTGGTCTTCTAGCCCAATATATAGACAGATCTCATTTTATTGCACTTCACAGAACTTATGTTTTTTTACAAATTGAAGGTTTGGAGCAACCCTGTGTTGAGTGAGTCTACTGGAGACATTTTCCCAACAGCCTGTGCTCACTCTGTGTCTCTGTGTCACATTTTGATAATTCTCAAAATATTTCAAACCTTTTTATCATTATTATATATGTGTGCACATATGTATGTGTGTATATATAAATCTCATAATATACATTATATGTGTATGTACATGTATATATGTGTGTATATATAATATTATTATTTTTTGGTATGGGGATTGAACCCAGGGACTTAATCACTAAGCTACATCCCCAGCCCTTTTAAAAGAATGTTTTATTTAGATACAGGGTCTTGCTAAGTTGCTTAGCGTCTTGCTAAGTTACTGAAGGTGGCTTTGAATTTGTGATCTTCCTGCTTCAGCCTTCTGAGCTGATGGGATTGCAGACATGTGCCACAGCACCTGGCTATTACTGTATAAGTTGATGATGATCTTGGATAAATTATCTTTAATGTTACTATTGTAATTGTTTTGGGGTGTCATAAATTGTGCCCATAGAAGATGATGAACTTAATAGACAAATGTGTGTGTTCTGACTGTTCCACTGACTGATTATTCCTGTTTCCTCTCTCTCCTTGGGTCTCCCTATTCCTTGAGACACAACAGTATGGGAATTATACCAATTAATTGGCTTATAATGACTTCTAAGTGTTCAAGTGAAAGGAAGAGTCACACTCTTTATTTATTTATTGTTGTTGGTACTGGGGATTGAACCTAGGGGTACTTCATACAGTAATTTTTGAATTTTGAGACAGGGTCTATATTGCTGAGTCTGGTTCTCCAATTTGTGGTCCTCCTGCCTCTGCCCCCTGAGTCACTAGGATTACACTCCTGAGTCACTAGGATTACACTCCCAACTCCTCTCACTTTAAATCAAAAGCTAAGAATGGTTAAGTTTAGAGAGGAAGGCATGTCAAAACCCAAGAAAGGCTGAAAGCTAGCCTTCTTATACCAAACAGTCAAGTTGCAATTGCAAAAGAACAGTTCTTGAAGGACACTGCAAGTGCTACTCCAGGGAATGATAAGTAAGATAGCCTTATTGCTGGATCTGGAGGAGTCTCAGTGGTCTGGAGAGAAGAGCAAACCAGCCACAACATTCCCTAAGCCAAAGTAAGGCCCTAACTCTCTTCAATTCTATGAAGGCTGAGAGAGGTCAGGAAGTTGCAGAGAAACGTGAAGCTAGTGGAGGTTGGTTTATAGGCTTAAAGGAAAGAAGATGGCTTGATAATGTAATAGGGCAAGGTGAAGCAGCAAGTGGAGCATCCAGAAGATGTGGCTAAGACAATCGATGACTCTGAATAACAGGTTTGCAATGCAGACAGAGCAGCCTTTCATTGGAAGAAGATGCCATCTAGGGCTTCCATAGAGAGAAGAAGCCATGCCGGGATACAAAGCTTCCAAGGACGGGGTGACTCTCTTATTAGAGGATAAAGCAGCTGGAGATTTTAAGATGAAGCCACTGCTCATTTGTCACTCTGAAAATCATAAGGCCCTTAGGAGTTACACTAAATATGCTCTGCCTCTGCTCCAGAAATGGGACATCATCTGGATGACAGCACATCTGTTTACAATAGAATTTATTGTTTTTAGCCCACCATTGAGACCTGCAGTTAAGAAAAAACAAGATTTCTTTCAAAATATTAGTGATCACTGGCAATACACCTCGTCACCAAAGAGCTCTAATACAGATGCTATTTTAGTCAGCTCTTTTACTGCTGTGACCAAAAGACCTGACAAGAACAAATAGAGGAGGAGAACTTTATTTTGGCACTCGTGGTTTAAAAGGTCTCAGTCCATGGACAGCTAACTTCATTCCTCAGGGCTTGATGTGAGGCCTAACATCATGGCAAAGGGTGTGGCAGAGGAAAGCAGCTGGGGACATTGTGTCAGCAGGCAGAGATAGCTTTGCTCAACAAAGACAAAATATAAACCCCAAAGGCACACCCCCCCAGGGACCCACCTCCTCTAGCCACCCTCTATCTGCCTAAAGTTACCACTCAATCTACTTTTCAGGACATTAATTTGCTGATTAGATGAAGGCTCTCATAACCCAATCATTTCATCTCTAAATCTTCTTGTATTGTCTCATGCATGAGCTTTTGGGTACCTTACATCGAAACCATAACAGATGTACAATGAGATTAATGCCATCTTCATGCCCAACACAACATTAAATTGGAAAACATTCTGGAAAGGATTTACCATTCTAGATGCCACTAAGAACATTCATGTTTCATGGTAAGAGGTCAAAAGAGCAACATTAACAGGAGTTTGCAAGAAGTTGATTCCAACCCTATGGATGACCTTGAGGAGTTCAAGACTTCAATGTACAAAGACACTGCAGATGGGGTAGAAATAACAAGAGGGCTAGAATGGGAACTTCTAAGAGAATTGCAGCCTGAAGATGTCACTGAATTATCACAATCTCATGACAGAACTTTAATGAATAAGGAGTTTCTTCTTAAAGACAAGCAAAGTGGTTTCTTGATAGAAACCTGCACTTGGTGAAAACGCTGTGTGCATTGCTCAGATGAGAACAGATCCAGAATGTCACAACGACTTAGTGAGGAAGAGGCAGCAAGGGGAGGACTGACTCCACATTCAAAAGAGATTCTACTGTGGGCGAATGCTATCAAATAGCGTCATAGGCTACAGCCTACTCTTCTGTGAAAGGGTCAGTCGATGCGGCAAACTTCATGGCCATCTGGTTTTAAAAAGCCACCACAGCCACTTCAACCTTTAGCATCACCACCACCACCTTGATCAACCAGTAGCCCTCAAAACGGAGGCAAGACTCTTCACCAGAAAAGAGATTACATCTGGCTGAAGGCTCAAAAGATTGTTAGCATTTTTTCATTAGGTATGCTTTTTGTTTTTTAAGACATAACGTTCTTTCATACTTCATAGACTATAGTAGATTGTAAACATAACTAATATTCTCTGGGAAACCAAAGCTTCACGTAGCTCACTTTATTGTGATATTTACTCTACTGTGGTGGTCTGGAACTGAACCTGCAACATGTCTGAGATACACCTGTATCGTACAACCCATGCTTACTTTGTGCTCTGGCTTCATGTACCAGTGCGCCTCTATCTGGTCAGTTTGGCATCTGGAACTGAATGATTTCTTTGGCAAAACCCTCTTCAGCTGCACTGATAAACAAAACTATTTGGCACAGAATTTCCCAGAGAAGTCATCTGGGTTCTTTCATTTTAGATAGCTGCAGCATTCTTTTCTTTTGTTGGGGGGAGGTGGAGGCTATTGGGGATTGAACTCAGGGGCACTCAACCACTGAGCCACATCCCCAGTCCTATTTTGTATTTTATTTAGAAACAGGGTTTCACTGAGTTGCTTAGCACCTCGCTTTTGCTGAGGCTGGCTTCAAACTTGTGATCCTCCTCCCTCAGCCTCCTAAGCCGCTGGGATTACAGGCATGCACCACTGCACTCGGCGAGCATTTCTTGATATTTATTTAACACTGGCTTGCAAAGCATTTCACCCTGGAAACTGAATTTTAAATACTCTGCAAAGATATTCTAGACACTCTAGACAATACCTGCCAAATACTATCAATGATTAAAGTAATCATCCTGGGGAAGCAATATATTAAATAATCATAACAGTAATAACAACATTTAACAACAATACTAAATGTACATAGAAGTCTGGAGTTCACACACAAAGTTTTCTCTGGATAATTTAAAAAAAATAGCTTTCATGGAGAAATCAATCCCATGTTATCATTGCCAGTCCTAATATTTTAGCAAAAATGGCAATATTCCAAGACTCATCACAAACCTTGTTTGATGAATTTGACTCCAAATTACTTTTGGCCATTAAAAAAAACTCAAATTCATCCTCAAAGGACAAATATTTGGAAAACCTGTGGAGAGTTACATGAAACTCATATTTCTGAAAAAAGAAGCTGCCCCCTGCAGCCTGCTGAAGTTAGTGTTTAAAAAGTAGTACACTCAGTTGGATCTATGGCTTTAGGTATATTAGTAAAAAACTTGTTTTAAACAAATCTAACAGCAATGCTTCAGCTCTCTATTTAATTGGGGGGAAGAAGTAGGGAAAAGAGAGGACTTTGATCTTCAGATGGTTTGTGTGTAGCAGAAACCTGGAGAACAGAAAAACTCATCTTTCCCATTTGAAGTCCTTGCCAGAAAGTGAAGTGTAGAGAGGGTGGGTTGGTTTATTCATTTGCTCTTTTTTATTCACTCAATTATTCAAGAAATGTTTATTGAGAGCCTAATAGGCTCAGGCACTTTTCCATGTACAGGGGAAAGGCCAGTGAATAAGACAGGCACTGTCTGTCTCTGCTTTCATTCTTCGTAAGAATCAGCTAACCACAGTAATAAAAATCCAGTTTGCTAATTGACACCTCTGGGGAGCAAAGCAGAGGATTTAAATTTTAAAAAGTTGACAAAGATATCTAAATGCATATATCCTATACAGACCTGCTTCAGTTTATCAACTGAACGAAACTAGGAATTGTAGATAAGGTTCTTGAAGCTAAGCCAAACCTCCCCTTTTTCTTTTTTCCCAAAATGAACTTGACAATGTCAGAACATTTTCTGAAATAGCTATAAGAAAACCACTTACATAATGCTTACTAGGAGCCAGACACTGTTCTAAAGACTTAATATATTTTAACTCACTTAATCTTCACAATAACTCTTTAAGGTAGATAATATTATTCCTGCTTTAAAAGAGAGAAAGCTGAGATACAGAACTAAGGTTCTATAAAGGACAAAGTCATTGGCCAGTAAATGGTGGAACCCAAATCAGAAACTAGGCAATTTGGCTCTGTAGTCTATACTTAGCCACTGCACCTACTGCCTCTTCCTTAAACACTGTGTCTGTGCACACATTATGATAGGATGTTGGTGACAGAATCTTTTTATTTCAAGTTCTGTGCCCACAAGTGACTCGGCATGCATAGAGCATGTGCCTCCAGGGCAGGGTCCTGAATTACCATTATATCTGTGTCACCTAACAGGGACTAGCACAAAACAGATGCTTAAAAAATATTTTTTGAACTGCTGATACATTTGATCAATTCATATCGCGGATATAAAACAGTCCTATTTGGGGGGATAAAAAATACCTTTTTATTCCCTGGAGCTCTTATTTTACATGTGATCTTGAAGAACACGACAGACCCTGTGCAAAGTCATCAGCCTTACCTGCAAGTGCAACCAAGTGTGGCAGGCAGAATCTGTTTGCCAAGGCAATTAGTTCCAGCGGATCCAGGTCCAAGTTAGGTGACAATTGCTTGGTATAGAGATAATCCAATACAGCTTGCATTGACATCTTGTTTATGTTTGGGAGATGTACCTGAAATGTTACAGGAAACACTCAATTCTGCAGGAGAAATCAGGGAGTAGGCTCATTTTCAGGCTATGTGCTTATAAATATCCCAACTGTGGGATTCGATACTGCCAAGTCTCAGATACCTGCTTTGAGGCTGTGCGTAGAAATCATTCAGTATTTATGGCTTTGAACATAACGGTTTGATTTGTGGTTGACAAAAGAGTGGAGCTACCTGACAAAGTCTGACTTGGAATTTTTAAATGGCTATTCAGATGTATAAATCAGACAAATGGGCTGAAAACGTGTGGTGACATTATGGGCCCTCCTTGGCAGGTACTGATAATACTCCACTGTGGAAGAAAGAAATCTAGAAACACGACAGGTGTTGGGTGGGAGGGGGGCGCAAGCCATACTGTTGCTGACACAGGAGAGCGCCTGCTCTCTAAGATGTTGAGAGAGATGACAACCATCCTGGTTGCCACAGTGACTGGCTTGATTCTGATGTTCTATCCATATGTGTTAGCGCCATATATATGCTTTATTATTTTTTCCTACAACCACTTGGATTCAGAACTACTGGAACATTATTAGGTCTCAGTTGATTTGGAAAATCCAAAGGAATCCCTGCTGGGACATCTATGGGGAGTGGCTGATGGGGTCTGATGTACAGTCCTCTTGTCAAGATATCTCGAGGACCTGGAATTGTCCATATAAATGCATGCTGGAGTTTGCTGTCTGGAGGTTCAGTTTGAGACAGGTGGGCAAGGATGGAGAGGGATATACCCTCTTAAGCAGCTACTCTTTATTCCAGGTCCCCAACCAACTCCATGAGACAGACCCTGGCATGGTACATAGTAGTGCCACTAGCTTTTCCTACTGGAATGTTGATGATTACAAAAATTAACCTTTCTAGAAGGCCTCCTATACACCAGTCATTTTGCTAAGCTTTCTACATAAACCATCCAATTTGCTTTTTATCTCCACTCTAGGAGGAAGAGACATTATTTTTTACCAGTTTACAGAAAAGGAAACTGAGGTTCAGGGAGGTTAAAGCTTAGGTCCAAGGTCACAGAGCTATTAAGTAGGGACTGGGATTTAAACTTAGGAGTATCATTCTTCTAAAGACTGTTTTTCTAATTACTGTGCAGTACTTGAAGCCATTAACAGCAAGGAAGTAAAGGTTTGGGTTATAGAGCAATAATGTGCTGCATTTCACTAATAGTTTTTAAGAATTACATTTCTAATTTAAAAGGATAACAGTTATAAATTTCCTAATTCTGGTACTTAAACCTGTAGACAGTATATAAAGATCTATATCTAAATATGATTACATCCATATAAAACATGATTGTATCTATATAGTACACATAACTGCACCTCCCCCATATATATTTATTTCCCTCTCCACACACACATCTTCCGCATTCTACAAGGAGCTCATGGCCTATGGTTCCAGAATTAAGTCATAAAAACTTCCCATATTATTCTCCTTTGCAGTCACCAACCACCTCAGAGGGAGCATATATTTTCAGCAGGTAGAGTCATTCTTTATTATATTATATGGAAGGACCAGAAAAATTCTTGGAAATATTAAGAAATCTACACTCCCCTTTGAGACACAGCCAGTGAAAACCATATTTATGATTCCATAAATAAGCTTCATGGGTCATTATAATCAAGTTTCTTTCTTTGTGGTTTTTTTTTTTTTTGTTGTTGTTGTTACCGGGGATTGAACCCAGGGGTGCTTAACCACTGAGCCACATCCTCAGCTCATTGTTTTATATTTTATTTATATTTAGAGATAGGGTCTCACTAAGTTGCTTAGGACCTTGCTAAGTTGCTGAGGCTGGATTTGAACTCGTGATCGTCCTGAGTCAGTCTCCCTAGCAACTGGGATTACAGGTGTGCACTATTGTGCCCAGCTCATTTCAAGTTTCTAGAACATCATATATAATAGAATTTGATTAATAAAAACTCTTATTGACATTATTATCTTAAAGCCATACACATACTGGGCCGTGTGAAATATTCAGATGTAGGAATGTTAGTTATCCCTCTCCTCTACCAGTTGCACCTGAATATAAATATCAATTGCCATTTGAGTGAGTCTAATACTGGCTGTACTTGTGTGTATGCTTACATACACATGTATTGATATGCACATGCATTTGTCTTATACAGATAATGAAGTTCCTTATGGGTGCTCGCACAAACTTGTTTCTGTGTATATGTAAACAGCAAAATTTCATTACTCTAGAATGATGTTTGGATTAGTGGTTTTCTAGATATTTGAAGATTAAGTTGTGAAGCTTTTAAGATTTGAATTTTTTGTAATCAAAGTATCCATATTTTACAAAGTGCTAAGTGCCATATTACTAATTGTTAATACAAGCTGCAGAGCTTCTGCTCGCTCATGTACAGGGACGTCTGTTGCCTCTGAAAAGAATGCCTGAAGGGACAGGGTAAGAGTCTGGGGCAGGCCCAGGAATATGCTACTAAAATACTGTGCAATCTTTGATAAATCACTTACCCTCTCTGACTTTCAGTTTCCTCATCTCATATGGGAGGAATCTGGGATAGATTTTTTAAAAAAGTTTCTTCTTTATTGACACTCAGTTTTGAAAATATTTAAATTGTCTTAACACTGTTTGCTAAGACTGTGTTCTCTAAATCATGCCTTAAAGAAAAAAAATGCCCATTGGAAATACAAATATGAAAATGGACATCTTAAATTAAAAGACGTTATTTTGGGCCACAGGAGATGACAGATTCCAGTGAGCAGCACTGCCCCACTCCTGCCTGTGTCCTCTGAGTGCTCTGATGTTTATAATCACCCATGACCTGCTGTTTCCTTTTTGTTTAATATGACGTTAACAAGTTTTGAAGTGATGATTCTTTTTGGCAAATAATGTTAGGGACCCTTAGAAATAACCATCAAATGAAAATAAAAACACTTTCAGAACGTGCATTTTTTTTCCCTCTACTGGTTGATTTTTTAAAAACAAAGCCTGTTCTGTGACGTCCATATTTATAATTAATTGTGTAACAACCTTTGATAGCACTTTAAAAATAATATACATAAAGCTACAGAAGAAATTGAATACAAAGTTTTACATCCTACCGGCTGAATGTTGCTTAAAGAAAAAAAAATGAGTAATGAGGGGGCTGGGATTGTGGCTCAATGGTAGAGTGCTCGCCTTGCATGGAGGAGACCCTGGGTTCGATCCTCAGCACCACAGAAAAATAAATAAATAAATAAAGGTTTTGTGTCCATCTACAACTAAAAATTTTTAAAAAGTGAGTAATGAAAGAGAACATGCCATCCTAAACAATGTTGCATATTCTAGTTCAGTTGGTTTAAAATTTTAATTGTGAAGATTAGCTCAGACCATTAGGCTTATAATTAGAGATAGTCTCATACAGAATGAGAAAGCATTCTAGATCTAGAGCACTGCTTACTACAAGCCGGGCATGCATTTTTAATGAACCACTTGCTGAGTACCTCAGGGGAGAGAATTATGCTTACTGCTACATTAAAAGTAATGAGAAAAGATCTATGTAAGATATAGTGTTCTTGAATATTAAAGGACAAAAATGTTAAAGCAACAACAGGCATAATTCCTTCTGGATATGCATGTGCATTCTATTAATTCTCCCCCCTCTCACCAAATAGGCTGAACTTCATGGGGGAAGTCAGATTATCCCAAGACAATCAACAGTTAAATTATGGCCTAGGAAAACCAAATCCCAAGTGTGAAAACCAAGCCCCAGTGTGAAGACAGGAGAAATCAATTGTGGGGTATTTACAAGCCTTTGACCAAGTGCCTCTTCCCTTCACCTAGGACCACCATCATCTTGCTTTCTTAGTTTAGAAAGGGAACTGGGGACATTTTCACTTATGTCTCTCAGGCACAAAGACCTTCGCCCCCTCATGGAAAGAATTTAACAAGAATACTCTGGGATAACAGTCTCTGACATTTGTTGAGCATTTACACGTTCTAGGTGTCACATTTGAGACATTACACATGCATTCTCTTACTTTATTTACACTCTGAAGAAGGTTCTCTTTTCATCCCCATTTTATAGATGGAGGAAACAGGTTTAGAGAAGATTGGTCACTTGCCCAAGGTCAAACTGGGACTAGAGTTCATAACTACTAAATGATAGTGTATGCTGGAAATAAAAGAAAGGGGGCAGGAAAGGGTGGAAATGGGTTTCTAGTGTACTGGCTAATGGAATTTTGGCGGACTTTTGGTGACTTGGTTCCATGGTCTTTATTTTTTGAGCTGGTTTCAATCTACACATACAGATTGACCTCAGCTGCTGTTCTCAGAGTTAAGTGACCTGATCTTTCCGGAGGGTGTGCTAAGCAGGTGGCCACCTCTAGTGCAGCTATTAACTACCCTGTAATATGTGTGCGTTCACGCTTGCTGCCAAGGTTTTTGTTTTGGTCACCTCTCCTGCACATTCTAATCTGGAGAAGATTATAGTCCATTCTGTGAAGGGATAAAGGGGATTAGCATTCGTGAGGTCAGCTCAGACAGCGTCCCTTTGTGCCTGGGTTCCTGACCTTGATCAACTTTTCTCTGCTCAGTTAACAGCAGGCTCTCTGCTGCACAATCAGCACACATTTGAGTGAGCTAGGAAAATAAGGGGAGCAGGCCTCTGAGCTCTTTATTTCTGGAGATTACTGAAGTCAGTAAAATGCCAATTGGATGAGGTTTCACTAATTGGTGCCCCCCCCTGAATTTTTCTTTGAAGTAAAGAATACCATCATCATCACAATAAGACTGGTGGTAGCTGCCCTTTGCTTATGCCGCTTAGGAAGTGCTTTGCAAGGGTTGATTCTCACACCTCACAACCACAGTATGGTGTTATTATTGAAAGACTGGAGCTCAGAAAGGTAAGTCACTTTTCCGAGGCCACCCAGCTTTTAAGTGAAAGAGTTATGATTTGAGCCCCATAGTCCCTTAATGATGCAGGCTTCATCACACAGCAGTAAGCTTTTTGTTGGTGCTGGGGATTGAACCCATGGCCTTGTGCATGCAAGACAAGCACTCTACCAACTGAGCCATATCCCCACCCCCTCACTGCAGCAATCTTGGTAAAAGGCTCACAAGTTTCATCCCTCAGGAGAGACTTGGATTAATTACAAGTGAACACCTTCTGATTTATAAAGGCTGGTAGGTACTCAGAGGAAGGTAGTGAGACAATTCTGATGTCTTTTTCTCTTTTTCCCAAACAGCAGATGGTGGTTTAGGAGCAGCTGCAGTTTGTTCTGGAAGCAGGAGTGTGGCCTAGTGACCTTCTCAGGCCCAGCCATCCCAGGCTTGTGATTCTAGGATTCTGTTCCCTACTTGGGGATGCAAATGCAGGCTCCTGGGTCATAATGGGAGTGCTCAGATTTCTCCTGTGAGCACCCTTTTTGAAAAGTTAGCTATTGTTTTCTGTGTTTCTTCTGAAAGTTTGGAGATGTGCTGAGATAAGCAAAAGAAGTCTCTTAGGACAATAAACTTGATGGGGTGTCCCCATGTTTTTTTTTTTTTAAAGATTCTAAAAAATAATTGCAAAACTCAACAAAAATGCTTGTTCATTCTGGACTAAAGTTGAATGGAATTCCCCCCCCCCCCCAACACACACACAAAGGAATCTATAAAAGAATAAAGACAGCATTTCTGAAATATTGCTTGCTTTGTTCTAAGAATGTCCTTCTTTTGGTGCTATATGATCCAGCTGCTTCCACTAGACCTATGCACTCTGAGAAGTGGATTCATTCAGAGGAATGACTGTTTGCTACAATGCTGTTTCCCTACAGTTGACAAACCCTCCTACCCCTTCTGCAAGGGCAGAGAAGGAAGGAAAGAGCTGTGGAGTGCTGTAGGTTACGGCCACTTCATTCCTTACCTGCAGGCAAGGAGCCTGAGGCCCAGGTTGAGGTTTCTTAAGGTCCCTCGGCTGGTTAAGGGCAGAACAGGACCTGGGACTTACTTAACTGAAGAACTCCTCACTTTCCTGAACTTCTAGACATCAGGTTCTGCCCCTCTTAATACTTGGTTTTGATAGTACTTTGGTGACATTTGTTAAAAAGGAACAGTTGACCATGTCTTCACTGTCAAGGACAGGTGTGAGGATGAAAGGCTGAATTGCACGTGCAGGTGCTTGAACATGAGATGAATCACCCACAGGACCTCCTGACTGTAGAATTAGAAAAGGGTGGCTTCACCCTATTTCATGGAAGCAGTTAAAGACTGAAGTCATCTGGCTACAACATTTTAGATAAGCACACGTGCACACACACTCACAAGACACCACTTGTCCTGGAGGAAGGCACATACCTCACTGTTGGCGCTTTCCACAAACGAACCCCCAAACATGGCAGCCATCCACTCACAGCTACAGATAAGCAATGGCTTGTGGGCACTGATGGCTCCATCATCCAAGGTAAAGGTCACATCTGCCAAAGGATGGAGGGAACACAATGATGAGCTGGCTCTGCCCAAAGCTCAGAGTCTTCTGTTCCAACCATGTCCACCAACCGGTATCCCTCTCGCTGGCTCTTCTGTGGGTACTCACTGATTTCACGTCAACCTCCACTTTTGGCACACCCAATTTTCACAATAAGGAACAAGCATTTAAAATAACATACAAGGTCACGACACAGATTTTCTGAACCATATAGTAACAAAAAAGGAAAGGGATATTTTCCCTCCTCCTCCTCATGAAAAACTTCAAACATACACAACAAGGCAAAGAATAATATAAGTTGAGTATTCCTTGAACTAGAATGTTTGGGAGGATATGTGTTTCAGATTTTGGATTTGTTCAGGTTTTGGGATATCTGAATATATATAGTGAATATCCTGATGATGGAACCCAAGTTTGAATACAAAATTCATATGTTTCATATATGCCTTATGTGCATAATCTGAAAATAATTTTTTACAATATTTTTAGTAGCCCTGCATTTTGACTGTGACCTGTCATGTGGGGGACAGATATGGAACTGTCCACTTTGTCGGCAATCAAGCAGTTGAAATCTTGAAGCATTTCAGATTTTGGATTTTCAGGTTAGGGTTGTTCAACCTGTACAACAATCACTCATTTACCTATTGTTAACATCTTGCCACGTTTTTTTTTTCTTAACAGATAATGATACTTCATTCCTAACCACTTTATCATGAATATTCTAAAAATAAGAACATTCTCCTAAAAAAATCTCATTATTCCACCTAAGAAAATTAAAAATAATTTCTTGATGTCATCCACTGTCTAGTTCATATTCAAATTTCTTTAATTATCCCTAAGTTGTTTTTCATAATTTTTTAAAAATGGGAGCCTCCTAGTGAGTCTCCCACCCCTCATTCGGTTTTGTCTCTGCAGTAAGGGGAGGGTGATTCAATCAACTTTAGTTTAACTTACTGTAGGTCTGTGGCACGTTCTTTCATTAACTTTTAAGGCTGTTTATACACCACAATGACCAGTGTTTGGAGTAAATATTATTCATAAGCTTTAAAGTTAATTAAAAGACTCAGTGACCACTTGCTAAATGGGTAGGACCATGGCAGGGGCTAGGAAGGATAGACAAAAATAGAGGTATCCATATAAATAGAATTCCGGAAGTCAACTTTTTCCAATGAAATGCATACCCACCCACACCCACACCCACCCAGAGGTCAATTTTAGAACAATCAGCATAAATATCAAAGACAAAGCAAGGTCAGGAAAACTACAGAATAGCATAAGGGCAGAGAAGGAGGGAGATGGAACAGATGAGACACCCCTCATAGGAAGGCAAGGGCCACCAAACTCAGGTGCAGGAAGGAATTCAGTGGGCTTAGGACCAAAGATCACTACTGAAAGTCAAGGATCCCCAGCACTACATAAAAATAAATAAATAAAATGAAGGTATTGTGTCCATGTACAACTAAAAAAAAAAAAAAAGACTTGATCAAGGAACAGATGCTGATAGGGTACTGCAAGCATCAAGCTGGCTAGAGACAGGCTCAGGGACATCTGATTGACCCCGAAGAGCAGCGTGGTGCCATAGCAGTTTAGGAAACAGATTTCTTTAACCAACAAAGGGTTCCAGTACCCCTCCTACCATTTATTGCCTGTGTCATCATGTGTGAATTACCTAACCTCTCTGTTCCTTGGTTTTCCCAACTGCAAAATAGGGAATAACCAATAAGACTGATGAGAATTAAATAAGTTAATACCTTCAGCTTAGAAATGTACATGGAAAAAAAATAAGCACTTGTAAATGTTAATTACGGTTAACCTTTCCTTCTCTTAGTTTGGCTAATGTTTGATAAAACACCACCAAAGGTATACATGGCTCCACCAGGGGACCTGCTCACCTGAGAATGTCCCCTTGCTGAGGCACTCTTTTATCCGGTTGGCTTTCCTGACATGAAAGGCTTTCGTAATCTCCTGGTTCATAAAGGCTTCCTTGTTCATGATGTTTTCCACCATCATCCTCAAATCAAACATCTCGAGGACCTCTGCGATCTGAGCCAGCCCCACCAAATCCTTTTCCTTCTCATCCAGTTGACCTGTATAAAGAAACTGGAGCAGGGTCCGGAAAGGGCCTGGCTGGACTGATGAGTCCATCCTGACCACAGTCACGGGGCCCACCCGCTTTGAAATGGGATTGACCTGCATTTCTTTGTGCATGCCAATGAACCCTTTGCTCCAGCCTGACAAAGGCTGCATCTCAGTAACGGAGCCCTCAGCTTCCAGCCCCGGAGTCTCCAACAGGTTCTTGCTTGGAGACATCCCCTGATCGGCCTGAGGCCTCCTCGGGGCACCTTCTTCCCCTTCCTCATCTGCATCAAGACTCAGCGTCCGGCCCTGAAGAGGCCTGCTCTGCATCTCTTTCTCACAAACTCCTTCACCCCAACTTGGGGATTCTTCACATTCCATTAAAAAAAGATCGTAAAATTTGGAAGAAGAGGTAGCAAGGTAAATTCGATGTGCAAAGATGTGCTCCTCGTCCTGAAGGATGAACAGGACGTCAGCACACAGTGGATTATCCAGTAAACAGGCAGCTTCATTAGTCCCCATGGAAGGACACTCTGGGATTTTGATGACTGGTGGAGGGGCTTTGGGAGGTAGGAAGGGTGCCTGAAGTAAAGGTTTCTGGACTTTTTTTAAGTGGGACTTCCAGAACTGCAGGTGCCGGCGGGAAATCAGCGCTGCGCGAATGGCATTGTCAAATACATCCTTGATTCCAAACCGGTCAAATACACTGGTTTCATAGTATGGTATACCAAGTTCCTTTGCAACCTCTCGACCTTTTTCTGGGGGCAAAATATCCCCTCTCTTTATGGGCCTGAAATAGAATATTTTTAAAAATTATAATCAGCCTTATTTTAGAGAAAAATAGTCACCAGTGTCTACCTAAGCACCTAATTTAATTATACATCTAAAAATCTATTCAAGCTTTAATAAGGATCTCGAAAAATCAACTACTAAACACAAGCCTTTCAAACGTAAAAGATTTATGACTACAGATAAAAATGGTTTCAGTAGTAAGAGCAGTAACTATTGTCTTTTTACTAGCTATTTGTTCTTGGGCAAATTATTTAACCTCATTAAGCCATAAAACAGGTATAATGATAATGATTATCCATATCTTTAAAAAACTAATGAAAAGTTTTAATGAGATAATATGTTAAATATAGTACTTGGTCCACAGTAAAACCTCCAAATGTTACCATCATTATCGCTACCATCATCATCTTTATCACTTTCTTCTTCATCATCATCATCGTATGCTTAAAATTAGCTTTATAACTTTAAAATGCATCCATTTAAATTTTTTATCTGAGCCTTACAATAACTCTATCAGGTATTATTTTTGTTCTATATTCTGAGAAAAACTGAGGCAGGAAGTTTAAAAGGTTTACATAAGGTCATATTTGCAAATTGTTGACAGGTCTCTACTAAGCCATGAGAGTCTAGACTCTCCTACTCCAGGTAAATGGTCCACATCAACAGCTATTAAGTCTACTGGATTCATATATCCTCTTTCCTATGTTTCTCCTTCTCTTTTCATCCACTCCCTTCATCAGGCCCTTACTATTTTTTGCTTGGACTGGTCCATTAGCCTCTTAATTGGTCTTCAAAATTTTCAATTTTAGCTCACAGTCCTCCTTGCTGCAAGAGCAGTCCTTAAATAACAAAGTGGGGCTCAGCAGCACTTCTGTGTTCATTTCCTATAATTCCACAAAGCTCATGGAATAAAGTCCACACCCCTTAGTCCGGCACACAAGGCCCATTTCCAATCTAATCAAACCCAGAAGGCCAATATACAAAAAGTATAGCCACGCAGTTATGGCATAATCATGTGAAGGAACCAACAGATTCCAGAACACAGATAAGAGGTGAGTTGGTGTTACAACTATCTAAAAACACCTTCTTGATTTGGGGACATGTTTTTAGGAACCAATCTTCTAAATAAATATTTGGTCTTTAACACCAAAGGTAATATATATGACAGGTCCTGGTCTCAGGAGAGAAAACTGATAATAGGTGGAATTTGGATTTGGAAACCTGGGTGGATAAAGATGGAAAATCATAGGGTGTTGTCAAAGGCAGAAGGGAAGTGCAGAAAAGATTGAATTTCAAGGCTTGTTCCTGCTGGCATTGTGTGGTCTTTGTTCCTAAGGCTGACTTGAAATTTGCTAATATGAAATTCTCCAGACATAGTTCAAATGCCACCTCCTTCTCGGAATTGCTCTACAGAAGGATTGTCTTCTCTGCCGTTCTCTGTAGCTCTGCGACCCTCTCCTCCAGTCTTCCACATACCCATGTGGCTCTTAATATTCATTTCCTAGTCCATGCATTTATGAACATAGGGACTGTGAAAAGACTGAATATAAAGTGTTTTCAGAAATGTTATCCAAAATGTACCTAGGGCATCAGAAATTATCTAAAGAACATCATCTGCTTTCATTGTAAGAGTACATAGTGTTGCACTCACATAAAATTTTGTGACAAGCCTATTAAGGCAAACATCAAAGCGAGGTATTAATATCAAAATGTTTTGAAAAGCTTTGCTCTCCAGCAAAAAAATAAAAATAAAATAAAATAAAAAACAACCATAAACATGAAAAAGAAGATACCAAGGTACAAAGGGAATTTGAGGGGGAACATGTTTCAAAAAACTTATTTATCCCCAAAGTTAGAATCCACATAATGGTAACATTATGGAGGTTTTACTGTGGACCAAGTACTATACTTAACATATTATCTCAAATACTCATTCAAGTGGATTTATAGAAAATTGTGACACTTTGAAAACACAAGTAAGGACTTCTAGAGACATTTAAAAAATAGTGTTTGCTTTTTTTTCCCCCTGCAATTAACTATAGGTTGAAATGATTTTTAAGAATTGGACACTGTTCTTTTGGGATATGTTCTCTCAGGTTGGACTAAGGGGTATTAGGGAAGTTAAGAGCACTTAGAAGGGCATATCTCTATGAACCCGATATTCCCTGGGGCCAAAAATTATGGCTGATCATTTTGAGCCTTAATTAATTTTATGTCATTATTGACATTATTATGGGCAACTAACATTTTGGATAAAACTTCATACATTTGAAAGTACTCCTACATGAACAATTTCATATTCAGAGAAGTCAATTCAAGCACTGGTCAACCATTTTACTAAAACATGGCTCCAACATAAGAGATGATGCTCTGAGCATGAGAAGGATGTCAGGCACAGCCCTTCCTGCTGGACAGGCTGACTTACAGTGTATGACTGATCGAATGGGATCCCAGAACCAGAATAGAATGCTAGGCTCAGAGACACCTGCTACCTCCAACTCTTATTTTGTGCCCTGAAACCCCGAGCATTGGCTTACCTGGCTAATGGGCGTCTGGCTCGATTAACAGCCTCCAGATCGGCATAGCGGAGATCAAGCTGGCAGCCAACAAGGACAACAGGTGTGCGAGGGCAAAAATGCTTGATTTCTTGATACCACATGGTTTTCACATGATTTAGGGAATTGGGATTAGCAATTGAAAAACAGAGGACCACAACATCAGACCTAAAAAGGAAATCACAGAAGAAGCTCGTATTGCCTTTTAACTTTTTTTCTTTTACCACTCATCTAATGCCATGTCATGTCACAGTTAAAAAAAAAAAGGCCAGATATTAAAAGATATTAAAACATATCTCTAAGTCATGCAAACAGCCTGATAAGCCCCCACATTCCAGCACCAACACAGCCTGGTAGTCCATTTTCATCTCGCACTGCAGAATGCTTATGCACCGAGAAGTTCCCAATGACGTTTATTTTCCGGTAGAGACGGTTACCCCAACTTAACTCAGTCCTGGAGCCATAACATGCTGAACTATTTCTGTTCACAAGAAATAGTTTCAAGATAAAAGAAAACAATAAAAACTACCTTTTACCAGTTTGAAACATAAAGGTGACGATGACTTGACCCAATGAGATAAAGCAAACAGTTTAAACACTGCCGAAAATGTCACAAGTATTTGCTGCTCAGGGTCAGCAAATACACAGAAGGCTTTCTGCCCTTCTTCTCACTTAGGCACACATGTAGAGAGCACAACCACTTATCTGTTTCCAAAAAAGAAAAATCCTGAACTTGCAGGAATCTTGACTTTTTAAAAAAACTAGGTATAAGGCACAGTATTTAACATACAGCTCAACAAGAATTAGACAGAGGGCTAATAAGGTGAGAAAATATTGGAATTAGATTTTTCAAATGTTATACATGATACATAGCAGGTATACAGGGAAAAGGAAAACTGGTTTATAGTGAACTCTGACATGGACCTTCTATTTTCACATAATAACTTACCATTCTAGAAGGCAAAGAACCATTTTATAAAACAGCTGTTCAAATATTGTTTGATGGATATCTGCTAAATAGGAATTATAAACCATCATTCCAGGTTAAAATATGCTCAATAATGACTTTCAAAACAGTGAGGCAGAAGAATATAAAAAAACAGAAACAGCTGCGTGCATGGATTCAAGACTATCTTGCAGCTAAGTTCAGAAATAAACTCTTCTAATTTTATTAGATGTTAATTTATTGCCTTTATTGTTTATGTAATGAGAAGAATCAAGTCAATGAATCAAAACACCTTCTTTTTAAATCATTAATGAGCTTTCCCCCCTACATATCAATGAGGACAAACAAATATATTCAGGCGACCATAAAATTTCTAAAAATAATCATTTGCAATGCAGAAAACTGCAGGGTGCTTACATTAAACGTAATTCACAAGTTGAGTCTTTAAGTTATATCCAAGAAAAATTGCACCAGACCATAGCAAATAGAAGGGAAAGTCCTAAATTTAAAATATTTTGAATTATAAAAGAAAACCCAGGACTCCCAGTAGATGAATGTATTAGTCTGCAGGGTTAGAATCTTCTTGAAATAAAGATATTATCAAAGATTCTTGGGTGCTGAAATAATATGTGTAAAAATATGCACAAATATATAAATGAAAGGGAAGCATGTCTTGTCTTTGGGATTCTGATTTAGTTTGTGGAATATTCTGCGCTCAGTCTTACTTCCAATCAGCATAAATAACAGTACCCAGTAAAGCCAAGAATGCTTTGAATTTTACATTTTTTTACAGGCTGAGTTTTCTATTATTCATAATCCTATTTATATCGGGTATCTGATGAAATTCTGCTATAAGCTTTGTCCTGATCATAAAATAAAGCCACCATGAATTTTGGCACAGTGAGAATAATATGACAATATGTGAGGTTCAATATCATAGAGAAAGAATTGAGGAAATATATCCTCTACCTAAATGTGGAATAGTATGCATATGTATAAAATTATTCTAATTGGTGCCTTCTATTTCCATATTAAGGCACATGACTGTAAAGAACATCATTCTCCAGAGCTTAATTTGTATGACAGGCATGTAGCTAAATGTCAATTCTGTTATCTAATTTTATGATACAGCATAAGTCAGAGCTAGCTTGGTTGCCAAGGTTACTGTGATAACACTCACGCCATTGAGCACATAGGAGTCACCGTCCAGATGACCTGTTAGCAAGTACGGACAGGACCTTGGGGGCTGGAAAAAATGGAATTCTGTGATGACAGCAGCACAATACCATCACACAATACAGGTCCGGAGGGCTCAGCTTCTAACTATGTCACATCAATATCTAAATGCATGAAATGCTGTGGGAAAGCTGGAAAAACAATTTAATGTTCCGTAAATATTTTGCCTCAAAATGATGACAGTTGAAGAAAAGAGGCTGCACTGAGAACAATACTATCTCTGAAGCTAAAGTAACTTATTGAGCCAAAATCCTATTTGTATTTTGGAACAAAGTTTTTCTTTTTCCTTTTGTATTGTCATTTAGTTGTTACTAGAATCCATCTCCATTATTTTACATTGAAAGAAGTTAAAAATAAGATCTCATTTTAACTATCAACTTGCTTAAGTGTCTTTTGTTTAACCTGCATTGCTCTGAACACAAATGCAAGAAAATTGGATGTTTGGCCCACACAGAATAATTGTTTTTAAGGTTTGCCATGTGAACACTGTATCCTAACTCTGATTTCTACCTAAAGGCCTAGCATCGGTGAACATCCAGATCAAGGTGTCCCTACTGGTGAATTTCTCTTTCCTCCACCCCAACATGGCTTCCTAATTTGTAACTTATCAGTATCCTCTGTGATAGAAACACCTATGCAAGCAAATGACTATTTTGAGAATGCCATTTATTCTCTCTAGATTTTGAGGCCGTTTTCTATCTTATCAAAGAAGGCACAAGACCTGTGGCTAAGAATATCTCCAGCTTTAGGCAGAAGTCCAAGGAACCAGAGATATTAAATAACTTTTAATCAAAACATTCATTCCTGTGTGGAGGCTGTTCAATGTCTGACATAAGCCTGTGTTTAAAAATGCCATTCCAATGAAGATAAAAAGAAAAGAGCCAAGTTGTAGCTTTTCTATTTTCATGGCTCTGTTACTTTATTTTACTTTAAAGAGTGAATTTAAAAATAATTGGTTGGGGGGGGGGTATGATGAAGACATTTTTTACATATCAATAAGGCAGTGGAAGTAGTCTAGAAATGACCTCAGAGGGGGTCCTATTTCAGCTGTAAAAAGAACCTGATAGGATTTAAATGGAATCCTCCAGCTATGTGGAGTAGAAAGCACAAGAATTTGAGAATGCAGAGGGGCAGAGCACAGGGTAAATGAGACTCTAAACCCCAGGACATGAATATTGAGAAAGGCTAGAAAGAGGTTTAGAATGTTTATTTCATTTAGAAAAATTTATGGCTGGGCCAAATGACTTTATTAGAGAAAGCAAGAATCACAAAGGACTTAAAGAGTACATGGTACTAGTTTTGTTGGCCATGGAATGTTTTTTTTTTTTAGGGAAAAACATAATTTTTTAAAAAAAAAATTTGTCCCTAAGGGGAAAATATCAATAGAAAAGTTTGGCTCCATTACTAACACATAAAATAATGCCTGTGAAATAATATTTTGATTAGTTAACTAAAAAGAGGATCCAAAATAAATTGATGTGTTGTAACAATTGGGAATCTCTAGTTTCACAGGGGAATGAGAAGGAATCACAGAGAGACCAAGTCATTAAAAAATGCTTGAGCTGATAAAGCCAATCTTGGCTGTACCAATTTTTTCTTTGGATATTAAACAAACCCAGGAAGCATATTTTTTCAGTTATCTTTTTAGGGGGGAACAGTGGCCAAAGACAGCAAGTGAAAGATTGGCAAAGACACTTGGGTAACATAAGGAGAGCATGCAAACTTGGGACCAACCTTTTTTTGGAGGATTAAGGAAAGAATCTGAGAAAAGTGCATCTTACCCACATATCTTGGCCCTAGCCAGTCTTTGAACAGCAAATATGTTCTCAAAGCCTGTCTTTACAAGGTCTACACTCAAATATAGCAAACTTGGTAGGGAAAATTGGAGAAGCATCCAGAAGCTGAACTAATTCTCCAGTCTGAAACACCAAATTCATCCTTTGAAGAAATGGTTGGAAAAGGGATAGATAAGCTATATAACACTCTTATTGTTAGGAATGAATTTTCTAAGTTCTCTCCTATCACACAAGTGCTTTCTTCTTTTTTTGGGTCCCATCTTCCCTTTGAGTTTGTCTTCCCTTTTCAGATCCCATCAACTTTGCTATTTCCAGCTGTGGAATTGTGGGCCTTGGGTTTTCTAATCTAAATGAAAGGGGATAATTCTGAAATTATGCTTTACCTAAGAACAGCATACAGGACTGTCTGATGGGTCACAAAAAGGACAGCAGATTCCATCCTGACCTCCAGGAAGCAATATGGGGTTCAGCTGCATGCCCTTTTTTAGTGTGCTCCATTCCACTCTGGTTGGGTCTCTTGCCAGACTAACACTGTGTTGACCAAGATAAAGCCAACAACGATGTTTACCTGAGTTCTGCACAGATGTTTGTCCTTTTGTGATGATGCCAGCACAATGCCATCACACAATATAGTATATATTGTACTTTAAAGCCTTTTAGTCTATGGCAGAATCCTATCTTTTATGTCACCACTGCCTATTATTATTTAATTTTTTAGGAGAGACTCCTCTATGCTTTATATCGGTAGAGACCACATCGCATTTTATTGGGCTTCTTTTCTTTGTGGGCATACACAATCTGGCAAAGATTCCAGCAGGAGTTCCTGACCTCTACACCTTTGGGGCTTCAAGCTTCCTTCTCCCTGATGACAAGTGAGGCAGGTTCTTTACAGAAACATTTTCAAAACCATTCATGTCGACAACACACCTTTCATGCATAGAGTCCGACAGTGCTATGCAAACAGACACATCAAAACAGCACAAAACAGCTGGGAGCATGGCAGAGAAAAGAAACGTGGAACACGTGGCTTGGAAAATTTTAGTAGGGGAGCAGCCCAGTGTGTATGAGATGCGGAGGGAGTTGTCAGTGATGGTGCACATAACCGCCTGGAGATGAATGGCCGTGTAAGCTCACACTCATGGAGGATGGAAAGGCCTGTAGGGGAGCGCCTGGCGGGAGCTCTGGGGAGA